CTGTTCATTTAGATACTAGTCAGATACTATTATAAGTGGCTGCACCTGATCCCAATGGACACAAAGGGTTTAAAGGCAGAGAGCCGAGGGGGGAGCGGCTGCGGAGTTCTGCCTGAAACTGTCACACTGAGGAGCACCGATGCCACTATTTCAGCTAGCTTTCTCTCCCGAGGAGAGCCGTGCACCTCCAAGTGTAATGTTACTGTTTAAAAACGATAACGTTATACTATTCTTTGTGGCTTATACATATTAAATGCAGTTTAGAGTCATCAATAAGTTATTACACATCCTTGAGATTCAGCAAACACTCTGAGGTGATAACTGCGTTTGATCAGCGACGTTTCTGATAAGCTTAAGATGTGGATGCATATTTCGGCCGAACAGCTGTTGTAGGCTACCCGCAGAGATTTGCATCCACCTTTTTTGCCAGAAATAATGCGCGTTATGCCTGCAGACAGGTAGCTGGGCTGTAACTGGGGCGATGGTTTAGTTAAGGTGAGAAATTAGGTGTGTGAGTCCGCCTCTGAGTTTGTTTGGTGGGTTAGAATTTGCTTAAAAAGGTAGTACAGTTCAATAAGAAATATAAAATAAGATCCTTATAATAAACTTTCAATAAGATCTGACTTGAGTTGTTATTGTTGCACAGTGTCCAGCAGAAAACCTTATATTGCACATATTAGGAAACGGTGTATTTCACATTGCCACCCCTAATTACTGTCACATGCCAGAGAGGTTATCATGCTGAGGCGATCTCAGAGTTCAGTAGCTTTATGGCTCTTTGGAAGAAGCTGCTCAACTGTCTACCCATTGTTGTCTTTATTGCAGAACCCCTCCAGATGTGATTAGCTGTGTCCAGTTCTTCAGGAGAGAACAGCTCCAGCTTCCAGCTCTTCAGCTCTTCAGCTCCTGCTTTTCTTTTTACTCACAACACCTGAACACTACTGATGTGAAATTATGACACTGGGTTCTTATTAACAGATTCTATCATTATAATAACTCCCAACACATTTCAAGTCATACAAAACTACTTTTACATTTGTAACCTTTAATATTGATGTTTTCATGAATGCAAGACAAGAGTTTAATTTATTAAACTATTGCTTTTGTATTAGGAATACTTTGTTATAAAGTGTATCAAACTAATTATACATAATAAAATCATTCTTCATTCATCATCAGTGTCATATTTTAACTTTAAATAGTCTGATCTAAGCTCAACAATATATTATAGTCAACAGCTGTAAATGAAAATATTAAGATGTTATTTATAGGCTAACATTTCACATATGTTAGTAGAAAGTGAAAAATGAAAGGTTGATGTTGTATACTGTTTTATTTTGACATTTCTTTAAGAGACAAATGTGACATTGACTGACAAGTTACTATGTAGTGATAAACAAAGAATTATCTGCACACTGAATAGTTTTGAAGCCCTGTAAGATGTGTCATTTATTGTGACCTGAGAAGCTCTTGTGTGGTTTACATTGTATAGACTCACCTATTTACTACATGTGCATTCGGTCAGCTCTGAGACCTCAGAGTTTGCAAGGTCACAATAAAAAACACCTAGTGGAATTCATAATTACTCTGTGCAGATCATTCTTTGTTTCAGCACTTATCCACAGGATGGTTTGGATGTGCCCACATTATTCTGTGTTTAAACTAGACTTATCAGAGCAGCAAACAAGGCACTCTTCAGAAACTTCAGGCTCTGTTATACAGTATATGGGTACTGGGTGTATGGTTCCTTATTTATCTTAAAGTACAAGGTAGAAAGTAAAAATACTCCTGCACACAGAAATACACTGCATAATTACTTTTCAACATTTCATGTGAAACATGTTGGGAGTATTTTCACTTTTTAACTTATACTAGACTGATGTTCTTTAGCAAGAGTTCAGCTGTAATGTTTCATGTTTTATCAGTGGTATACGATCAGCTTTTCAGTAAGTAGTAAAGACAGGGAGTGCTAATATATATATATAATTTATTACAATGTGAACTATAAACCATATGTTTTTTTTTTAATGGATCTATGATACAAATATGGACAATATTTAAAACTCAAAGAAAACAGAAAGAGAGAACGCTTTCCACGTCAGTCCACCCCGTCAGCACAATGAGGACTCCAGGTCTCTGCAGCTCTCTGGCAGCAGGTGGGACATCTCGTCCACAGTGTGACTCTGGGAGGAAAATGTGTAATAAATTCTTCAGGTGATAAAAATATAAAGTAAATACAGATGATTCTTTAATAAATAGAATAGTGTGGTGAAGTTAATTTTCTAATGTAATTTAATTCAAATAGTGAATCTTTGATATATTCTAGATACATTACACAAAGTGAACCATTTCAAACTCTTTTGTTTCATCTTGATGATTACTGTTTACAGCTCATGGAAATAAAAACTCCACTATCTCAAAATGTATAAACATTTTAGAATAAATACATTTCTGTATTATAAATTATACAGAAATCACTGGAGAAGAGCTCTCTGATCAGCTAATTAACTCTCTCAGTCTGGTTCTGATGCTCACAATGAACTTTTCCTCAGTATTCAAATTTTTTGAGATGGTCCTCTAAAAGATGCCTCAGTGTTTTAATGCTGACAGCACTATTATGTCACATACGTGGGAGAAAATGGAACAAGGGAGATTTTTTAAACGTTTTTATGTTGTCCTTTTAAGACAGACAATTTCACATCAGCTGTCAAATGTCGAGTAGCTTTGAGTAGCAACATTATTTTAGACTCAAAGTTTAAGCGTTGAGTCGCAGATGTGGAGGCATCAGATCCTCAACAAGAATCTTGTGAAATATAAAAGTACCTTTCTGTTTCAAGTGTCCTATTCCAGACTGCCGACAGCAGCAACGTTACTCAAAATAGCGGTATGGGGAATTAATTAACGTGAAAACAGCCATGGCTAATGTTTTACAAGATATACAGCTTCCATCATGTAACTGAGGACTCTACCGCTAGCTTATTACATTTATTACAAGTAACATACTGAGGTGACATCTAAATAAACGACTCGTAATCGCTCGTAACCAACGGTATTGTAGTGAACAACGGTGTGGATTTGTGCATTTTACATTGAATAAATGTGGAGCTACCCTAAATTCCTTTCTCCTCCCCAGAGAAGAAGGGGAGGGGTCAAAGTTGCTTTCTCTAAGTGCTATCCCGACCATAAAACTGGCACCTTTTTGATTCCGAAGCTGATAACGCGGGGCCTGACTGTTAAACTGACAAAGGGACACGAGCCAGCCATTGGCATCTCCCTGAACAGCCTATCAAAACTGGCCCCACCACACACGTTTCCGTGGAAACTGACCTTATTCTTTGTTTTATTACCACATCAAAGGGATACTCCTTGTCTCACCTAAGTGTGACATTGTCCAGGACACTGAACTTTCAATGTAAAAGGACTGCAGTCTCCAAAAGACTCAAATCATTTAATTAAATTTAATTAAATCTTTAGTTACCTGAATATGTTTGCCTCTATTTGAGTAGTTATGTTAACTGTTGTTGCTATCTGTTGTTGATATTAGTGCTGAAAAGAAGTTACTTGTGCAGTGTTTTTATTTTCAGCAAGACACCCTTCATCTAATGTAATCAATTCTTGTTCATAATACTTTCTTACAAAATCCCTTTAGAATGATGACAAAGGAATGTTTTACTATACTCTTAATCGCCAGCTTGAATTTAAGGATGAATCAACAAATTCCCGGTTCCTAAGGAGAGACGATCTTTGATTTAATCCAAGCTTTCCTCATGTAACCTGAGCTCCCCCAAGTGGACGAAATAAGTATTACATGCCCTCGTCGGAAATGCCGTTAAATGTATAAATATCCTGACCACTAATGTGACAATTGTTTCCTGTTACCAAATGCCTAGAACGGTACAAACCGTTCAAACCATTGAGGTTCGATTGTGGAAAATATTTGATTATAATACGTGCAAATAGATTTCTTTTAAACACTAAGTTTAGAAAGGCAGTCCATGGGAAACCTGAGACACCCCTGGGGAACCACGCCCCAGACAACAAAAGAGCGACACACGACCTGCTCGCTCTCTCTCTCTTTCTCTTCGCTTGCTGTTGGCTCTTCCACCTGCTCGGCCCTCTGGACGCTTCGGCACGCCGTGCGTGCCTCGCCAGGCAACGCCCAGACTCGGCCAGCGAAACAAACAGGCCCTTTGTTCGCCTGAAGTGCCGCGACATCGGTCTGCCTTCAGTTTGTTTTATTTTCTTTATTTCTTTTGTTTGTTAAAGTTATCAGTCTGTTAAGTTACACTGGACTAATTCAGGAACGACCAAGCTCCATTTTAAGCCTTTTTCGTCGAGCCAACTTCACCGAGGTCAGACCAAGCCACGTGGTCTCGCCAGCTACAACCAAGGAAACCTGCAAACAGCCGAATTGCC